CTTCTCCGTGGTTCTTGGTTAGATGAATGTTTGTATCAAACAGTGTTCTAGCCATTTGACCATCATCCTTGTTAAATTTCTCAAGGATTTTGTCAATATAATGTGATTGACTCAACACGAGACCATCAGGTCTTCTAATGATTCTAATCCCAAGGATTAAATCAGCCAAACCCATATCTTTCATGTCAAATCTCGCATTTAACATGTTTTTGGTAGACTTGATCATCCGATCATTACTACCAACGATGAGAATATCATCGACATATAAACAAAGAATGACGTAGCTGTCTATCGTTTCCTTAACGTAGACAAACTTGTCACTTTCGTTTATTTTAAACCCGTTAGTTAACATCGCATGGTCAAACTTCTCGTGCCACTGCTTAGGCGCTTGTTTCAAACCATAGAGCGATTTAACCAACTTACACACTTTCCTTTCTTGGCCTGGAACCACGAACCCTTCGGGTTGTTCCATATAGATTTCCTCATCTAATTCATCATTTAGGAAAGCGGTTTTAACGTCCATTTGATGAACTTCCAAGTTCCGCAGCGCGGCTATGGCAAGAATCATCCTTATGGAGTTTATTCTCGTCACGGGAGAATACGTGTCGAAGTAATCAAGGCCCTCGCGTTGCCTGTAATCCTTGATTACAAGCCTAGCCTTATACTTCTCGGTGGAACCATCAGGTTTCATCTTCCTTTTAAAGACCCACTTGGATCCTAAGGGTTTACTACCCGGAGGAAGATTAACAAGTTCCTAAGTGTGATTCTGTAGGATAGAATCCACTTCACTTTTTATAGCCTCTTTCCACATTGGTCCTTCCGTAGAAGTCACGGCTTCTATATACGTCTGAGGCTCGTTCTCTATCAAACAAGATAGAAAACCGGGTTCATTTTATAATAAACAAGTTAGAGTACCCGAATCGTACTCTAACAAGTAAGTTAGAAAATCAGGACCGAATGTTTTTCCAACTCTTGCCCGCTTACTGCGTCTCGGCTCGAGCTCGGGTTCTTTCTCAGATTCCCCACTATCATTATCCATAGTTTCGTCAAACGTTCGTTTTGACGTACTTGGTCCCTCGTTGGACCTACAAGGAAATATATTTTCTAAGAAATATGCATTCCTTGATTCTATTATCGTGTTCTCGTGTACGTCCGGATTATGGGACTCGTGTACTAAGAACCAATAAGCACTACTATTATGTGCATAGCCAATAAAGATACAGTCCACCGTCTTAGGACCTATCTTTATTTTCTTAGGTGTTGGCACCAAAGCTTTGGCAAGACACCCCCACACTTTCAGGTACTGGTAGGACGGTTTCCTACCGTTCCACAGCTTATAAGGAGTCTTATCGAGCTTCTTGCGGGGTACCTTATTCAAAAGGTAATTACTTGTCAAAATCTCCTCACCCCACACATCTTGAGGTAGGCCCGAACTTATAAGCATCGCATTCATCATGTCTTTCAATGTACGATTCTTTCGTTCGGCAACACCGTCCGATTGAGGTGAGTAAGGTGTCTTACGCTCGTGTATTATACATACACTTGCACAGAAGTCACCAATAGGTGCTTCGTACTCACCACCTCTATCGCTTCTAACCTTCTTAATTCTCCGATTAAGTTGGTTTTCCACTTCATTCTTATAAAGAATGAATTTATCAACAGCTTCATCTTTGCTTTTTAAGCAAATACACATAGCAGTATCGTATGTTATCGTCGATAAATGTGATAAAATACTTATTACCACCTCTCGTTTGTATCGATCTAAAATCGCAAAAATCACTATGGATTAATTCAAGTGGTTCAGTTTCCCTTTCAACCGATTTGAAAGGTACTTTCGTTAGTTTTGGCTCAACACAAATTTCACACTTGTTATTTGTGTCAATTTGAAAGTTAGGAATATGGTCCATGCTAATTAATCTACGCATAGAATTAAAATTAACATGACCTAGTCTACCATGCCACAAATTGGAAGACTCAAGCAAGTAAACAGAATTAACTTTGCTTTTATTGATAACAAGAATTACACTGAGCTTAAAGAGCCCATCAGTTACATATCCTTTACCAACAAACATTCCTAACTTGGACAAAACTACTTTGTCTGACTCGAACACCATGCGAAAGCCATGCTTGTTCAACAGAGAGCCAGACACAAGATTCTTCCTCAGCTAAGGAACATACAGCACGTTGTTCAACGTCAGTTCCTTCTCGAAAGTCATCTTCAGAACCACCTTGCCCATGCCTTCCACAGTAGACTGAGCAGAGTTTCCCATCCACACCTTTTCACCCCCAATGGTCTCAAAGGTGTTGAACATCTCTCGGTTGCAACACAAGTGCCTGGTTGCACCGGTATTGATGAACCACTCACGAGGGTTTGAGCCCACGAGGTTCACTTCGGTCACCATAGCCGAAAGGCTAATCTCAACCTCCTTCTGACTGCTATCTTCAACAACATTGGCTTCAGAACTCTTGTTCTTCTTCCTTGGATCCTTGCATTCAGACGCTCTGTGGTCAGGCTTGCCACAATTGTAGCATTCACCAGAAAACTTGTTCTTGGTAATGCCACCTTTCGGACCTAGCTTTCGCTTGTCCTTCTTGTTCCTCTTAGAGCTCTTACCGTGCTCCACAACATTGCCTTAGCGCCAACAACGATAGGAACTTTCCTATCATTCGTCCTGTTCCCTTCCTCAATCCTGAGTCGCTGGATCAGGTCCTCCAGATTCATTTCCTTTCGCTTATGCTTAAGGTAGTTCTTGAAGTCCTTCCAACCTGGAGGCAACAAGTGGATCACAGATCCCACTTGGAAGGCTTCACTTAGCACCATTCCCTCGTCACGGACCTCGTCGAAGATTAATTGCAAATCTTCTACCTGACTTAGCACGGTCTTTGAATCAACCATTTTGAAGTCGAGGAATCGGCCAACCACAAATTTCTTTGAGGCGGCATCCTCACTTCGGTATTTATGATCCAAAGCTTCCCACAACGCTTTTGATGTGCTAATCTTTCGATATACATCATATAGCGTGTCACACAATCCGTTCAGGATGTAGTTTCGGCAAAAGAAGTCCGAATCCTTCCAATAGCCAACCGCCATCACGGATTGTGCATCTTGTTCTTTCAACTCGGGAACACTCTCGGACAAGAACCTTGCCAAGCCGAGAGTTGCTAGGTAGAACAACATCTTTGGTTGCCACCTCTTGAAGTTCGACCCAACACCGGTGAACTTCTCCGGCTTTTCAGTCGATCCACTCGGTACCGAAGGTACCCGAGACATGGGAATATCTCCCTCAGTGCTCCCACCATCTTGTGAACCAACGTTCACTGCTGTAGCTTGGGAATTAGCAACATTGTTGTCGTTTCCTCCATTATTGTCCGCAACAACATTATCCTCCCCATCGATTGGCAGTACGGGATGCTCCATTTTCTTCAAGGAAATTCGGAGAAGACCACCAACGGAAAAACAAGGAATAAGGTTTTAAGACTGTTGGATCCGTTGGTAGAAAAACAAATAATAATCAAATTAAAATAAGATTATTATTTTCTGGAAAAACAATGGAAGGAAAGATGGAGAATTTGACTAGTGTTTGGTGTTGGGTTTTGCAAGCGTCAAGCGATCACTCTTTCCTTAAAACCTTATTTGCCACCTCCCAAAAAGTGTTAGGAGCTTCGTGGCCTAGGCTTCCCAAGATAAAACTTGCTTGTGATTCAATGTTTGAGCACCCAAACAAGGAATCCAGCGAACAAGGCAAGATTATGAACACAGTAGGCAAAGAAAGAGTAGAAGCAGAGAGTTTTGAGGCTAGAAAATATACTTTCTTCTTGTAGTGTGTTTGTTCTCTTGTTGTTGTTAAAAAATCTGCTGTCTCTACCCTCTCTTATATAGGGTTGAAGGATTAAATAGCTTTTAATAGGGCACTTTAAAGCTGGCACACCAACAACTATAACAGCAGGCCACTACCTGACGAGGCATGTTGGAAAATGATACCGAAGCTTGGCATAACATAGCCCGCCCGCAGGTGCCGGCGCACACGAGCTCGGACTTGAATCAAGCCTTTTCGCTCTCGTTTTTAAGCTATTTTATGCCATTTTTAAGCTATTTTTTCCAACAAAATCAACATAATTAGTAAATGATAAATACTATGTCTCCATATAATTTTTTTCAATGCTCATATCTCATTTTTATATGTGAAACTTAATAAGATTAATACTTTTTGATAACATTGTTTAATTTCAATACATATAATCTTTAGTCCGTGCACTGCACATGTATCATACTAGTGTGTGTGTGTGGGTGTGTGTGTATTCATGATCAAACGAGAATCTCTCCTTCTCTGAGAACTTGCGAACCAATATAAATGCTCACAAGCGTCTACATAAATGCACACAAACTATTGCAGAGGTAGATTGTGTGTATTGTGCACTGAAATATGAGATTGTGTTCATTTATGTAGATACTTGTGTGTATTTATGTACAAGTTCGCAGGTTCTCATGGGAGGAGGGGTTCTCATTGAAACATCACCCTAGAGTCTCGTTCAGGTGAGAATATGCATAATTTTTCAATAATACATAAAAATTACTACACAAATGCACAGTATAAACCCCCATGCGCACCCTCCAGGCATGTCAATTACTACATAAATGCACGGTATAAACCCACCCCCTCCAGACATGTCTAGGAGCCATATTGTGTATTGATATATAACTTACTGTGCTTTACCAAAAAAGTCTGCATGTTCTCACGTTAAGAGGTGTTCTCACCTGAAAATAAATCTTTTTTTTTTTTTGAATGCTACTGGCCCTATTACATTGTAGTATCCGTTCATATACTTTCTCAACCTACTGAAACACAAAGAGCCAATAACGCCTCCACTGAGGCTTGAACTCACAACCTTCCAAATGGAAGTCCAACCCGGATACCATTAGACCACATAGTCCTGGAAGTCTGCATGTTCTCACCTGAAAATAAATCTATATATATAGAAATTTCAGTACAATGCCACAGTGACTTGAACAAATTCCATTTCCTTTAAAGAGAAGTTTATTGCTGTGCTTGCCTGGGAACTAAACTAAAAAGGAACACAAGGAATCCAGCATAAGGATACTATAATATTAAGGTAGAAAACTAAGGGAAGATTTCGACATCAACTTGACTCATTAAACCGATTTCCCTTTCTTCCGAGGTTATCTCTATCTATATTACAAGTACCAAACTCTCTCCTACTTTAAAGCTCAATGCAGAAAAATGCTTGCTGCATACATTCACATTACCATCCCACCATCAATAGTGAACACCTGTAATGGGAGGGTAGTCATCAATAAATGATTTTAACCAGAAAGAGTAAACAGATAATAAGTAAAAAGGGAAATTTAGAGTAAACAGACTAAAGAGTAAAAAGTAAATAAAACTCAGTACCTGACCAGTAATATAACTGGCAGCTGGATTGACTGCCAGAAATTCCACTAGCCCAGCCACTTCTTCCGGTTGACCATATCGTCCTACAATTACAGCCAAAATAAGTGAGTCTGGCAAGATTAACTCAATATTCAATTCTTTGAGGACCAGTATCTTTTAAATTCCTTTAAACTTCTTATATAAAGAAGTCTGACTATAAAAAGTAGCTTTATCTACTAGTAACCTTCCTCAAACATTTTTTTTTTTTTGGACATATTGATTCATAAAAACTCTGTTTACATAACTTATTCTCATGTCTGCACCTCACTGTCAAAGAAAGCAAACTTTTATTTTAGGAAGCAAGAACTCAGGAACATGCTGCCATGTCAAGTCCAATAATAATCTATGGTATCTTCTCTCTCTCTCTCTCTCTTCTTTTGATAAGTATGAAAAGTCTAGAGTATCCATTCTGACCTAAGGGAATAGTGCCAAGAATTTTCTTTTCAATGTCTTCACCAAGCATGGCTGTCATATCAGATGCAATAAATCCAGGAGCCACAGCATTAACCTGTTAAAACCAAAATCTTTCAGATTAAGTTTAACACTAACCAGGGAATAAGTTACAGTCAATCATAAGATGTTGCTGAGTGCTTGCACCATCTTTGTGCCTATTTGTTAATAAAAGGTCCAAAGATAAGTCATGGAACAGAACAGAGCAAATAAATGATTCTTACAGTTATATTCCTGCTGGCATATTCTTTTGCTACACTCTTGGTTAAGCCAATGACTCCTGCTTTTGCAGCACTGTAATTGGCTTGGCCAGAATTCCCAACCAAGCCAACAACAGAAGCTATGTTAATGATTCTTCCCTACAACATCCAAGTAGCATTCTAAGTAGACACATCAAATTTGCCGGATTTTAGTAAAATAATGCTTTACATATAAAATTCTCCGCCATTAACTAATCTCATTAACCCATACTGTTACCAGTAAATCTGGTTAACAAGTGTGCAGTAGATCACACAAATAACACCTTTACATCAATCATCACTTCTTTAAAAATGTCCAAAAAGGTTACCTTTTTCTTCTTAATCATAATTTTAGCTGCCGCCTGTGTCAAGAATAAGAAATTTAACATGGTAAGTCAAGAATTTAATCCCAAAAAAAGCAGGTTCAGAGTACGACAACGGAAAAACAAGGAATTGTAGAAAAGAATTTCCTAGGCTAACTACTGAGACCTGTGTACAGAGAAAAACCCCAGTCAGGTTCAAATCAATAACCTCCTGCCATTGGGACTTCTTCATTCTCATCAACAAACCATCACGGGTGATTCCTGCAATTCCAAAAGACAACTCATAATAAGGTGTGCCCGAGTAGACTTAAAGGTCATGGAACTCAAATGCTCGAATCCCCACTCGTGTATCAAGGAAAGAGAAATATAGAGCAACTATTCTAACCAGCATTATTTATCAATATATCAACTGTTCCCCATCGATCAATTACCTGCAAATATAACAGACAGAAAATGCAACAGGTCAGGCCATAACTATAATAAGATCCAAATTAATGTCACAAAGACATTAGTGTCTTACACTCTTAATCATTGACTCTACATCATCTTCTTTTGAAACATCACACCCAAAAGCAAAAGCTTGGCCGCCACTTGCTTCAATCTACAAAATGAAATTTTGTAAAGTCAAACTGAAGAGTATAAGTTTGTGCTTTGGGTAAAGATAATAAACAACCTTAATCCATGAGGATTAAAGTGTCACACAGTCTAGAACCAAACAGGAATTGGATAGAAACTTTTCTATAAGATACTTTGTAGTTCTTTCATTAATTAAGATAGCATCATCGAAAGCAGTCTATTTTCTTCCTTTCGCTACATGAAGCTTCATGTATAGAAAAAATAAAATAAAATGTGTGCTAACTGATAAGTAAATCAACAGCATGGCAATTGAATAATAATTCATATACAAGAGCAATAGTATTCATACACAGCTCAACCTCAAGACTTGAGATCATCCTAACTTTCAACTGAAGGAAAACTATAAAGTTAGGAGGTCACAAATATGCAATTCTTCAGTATTTACAGAAGCATGACAAGAAACAGTATAGTTAATATGATTATAGCAAATATTTGACCTCAAGACCCAATTAGATAGCTTTTAAGTTTTGGGTGTTTTAGAAGCATGATTATCAAAAACAAATAATCAATTAAGTAAAAATAAAAACAGGTTGCCATATCTTAAACTTCACTAAATAATTCAAGGATTGAAAGCTGAAGTACCCAAGTATTCAAAAACATTAAGTTGTATTTTAGATCAGGTAATAATATTATTCAGGGAAGCGTTGATAGGGTTTCTTTCTCTCAATTCTCAACAAGGTAATCTAATAGAATACCATTACATTATATCATGAAAATTTAATCCTCACCTCTTTGGAAACATCTTCTGCCTCCTTGGAAGATCTAGCATAGTTCACCAAGACCTGAAAGAAAGGCAAGGTTACATATTACAACACATTTCAAATAGGAAAGAATGTCAAACAGCATAATCATTAGTTAAAAACTGATCAGTTTGAAAGCAAAGATATAAGAGGGCATTAACAACTTTCAGGATGTTATTGAAAAGTTCATGGCTTCTGTTGGAAACCCTAGACCTATTCTTAGTAGGAATGGCTCAATACTTGTATAAATATAAGCATCTGTACAGTTTTTCATATGAATACAATACACCTCTATATTCCTTCACAACTTCCATATATATTATTATGGATCACTAAATGGACAAAGCAACTACTAAAAGGCCTTGTTTGACTGTGAGCGATACAAGAGACTAATTGGGAAGATGAACTACCTCACAATCACATGACCAAATATCTCCTTTGCAGTCAGTGTATTAAGTCAGTTTCTTGAGAACCCATGTGATACTGATTGGGATGCTGCTGTTCGAGTTCTAAGGTATATCAAAAAGGCACCAAGGCAAGGTTACTATACAAAGATAAGAGGACACACTCAGATTGTTGGGTATTTTGATGCAGATTGGATAGGCTGTCCATTTGACAGATGCTATACCTTCAGGTTATTGTGTGCTTATTGGTGATAACCTTGTATCTTGGAAGAGTAAGAAGCAAGATGATGTTGCCAGGTCTAGTGATGAAGCCGAGTATTGTGCTATGGCCCTTGCTACATGTTAACTTATGTGGATGAAGCACCTACTCCAAGAGTTACAGTGGTGATCAAATGACATTAATATGAGACAAACAGGCAGCACGACACATCGCCTCAAATCCAATTTATCATGTGAGGACCAAACACATAGAGGTTAATTGCTACTTCATCATTGAGAAGATTGTGTCAGGGTGTATTACAACCCATTTTGTTAATTCTGCAGATCAAGCAGCAATATCTTGATTGAGTCTCTTAGTGCTCCTAGAGTTGGGTATATTTGTACCAAGTTTGGAGCATATGATCTATACTCTCCAACATGGGGGAGTGTCGAAACCCTAGACCTATTCTTAGTAGGGATAGGATTAGCTCAATACCTGTATAAATATAGGATGTCTGTACAGTTCTACATATGAATATAATAAACCTCTTTATTCTTTCACGGCTTCCATATATATTACTATTCATCACCAAACGGACAAAACAACTACCTACTAAAAGGCCTTGGAAATAAAACTTTTGTGGATTGAAGCTTTGAAACTGAAAACATAAAAATTGTATCTCCTATTCTAATATAATAGCATAATTTAACATCTCATTGTTCAGGGCATATTTAATCATTTAAACAACAAATTACACCATAACAACACTCCAAGAACTGAAGAAAATAAACAGCAACAGTGTGCAATTGGTTCATACACTTTACCAAGTACTTCCAAGCTAAATTATTGATGTATTATTTGGGGGGGAAACAGAAGCTCCCATATCCAATAGTAATTCTACCTTTTTTTATGAATTAAATTCTAACTATATGAGTATATCCAAGCAAACAAATAAATAAATAAATAAAACAGTAGTACAACTATAGAATCTGACCTTGCAACCAGCCTTTCCCAAAGCCAAAGCAATTGCCTTCCCAATTCCACGAGAAGCACCGGTCACAATGACGACTGGAGTTTCAACTTTCGCGGTAGCATTGGTCCCTGCTTGCTCTGTAGCCGCCACCTGAGCTCTCACACCTAATTCAATATGCATTGTTGCACACATAAGTATACATGTGCATATGAATGTTGAGCACATACGTCGAGCAATGAGATATATGACTAATAATCGTTGTAATAATACCTGAGATGGGAGGAGAAGAGGAAGAGGAAGAGGAAGAGGACCAGCGGCATTGCAACGAAAGAGGAGGTGATTGGAAGGGGGCGTAAGAGAGGCGTAGAAGGGAAAGTTGATGGCGGGCAGAGGCGGAGATTTTGGTGATGCCGCGGGCAGTGACGGAGTTGACGGCGATTGAAGCCATAAATCGGGGTAGAGTCGCCAGCTATATAACTGAAGAAGCAATTGAGGGATAAGCGTAAGGAGCGCAACTCAGTGTCAATTGTTCTCCGATGGATGGTTGTAGTTTCCGGCCAAAGCTCGCCGGTTGGGGAGAAGCGGAGAGAGAAGAAATGGAGAAGAACACCTAGCAGCCCGGGTTGAATTTTAGTGGAAGACTTTACCAAAATAATGCCAATGATAATATATTACTTTTTGTTATAAATATTTGAATTATGTAGACATTATTATGTATGGCAATATTTATGTATCCATTTATGTTTTCTGTCACGATTTGTAATTGTAATTATATATATTGTAACATGTATTCTGTACTTTTAGTTCTGATCATGTTCATTTTCTCTCGTAACTATGTTCTTTCTTCCTGTTCAGTATGCATACATAGATATATTTCTCAAAAGGATGAAAGAATCGCCATACACAAACACAATTGTTTTCTAATTTCGGATGTATACATACACTCGTATTCGGAATTTTTTTTTTCCAATGTATATACATGATTTCTGGAAAAAAAAAAAAATTTGTTTACACATAACACACATTCTGTAATATGAATAAATTCATATTTTTCGAAATTTAAAAGAAACATATATATATTTTTTGGCAAACACAAATATTTTTTCGAAAAAAGAAAGGAAACCTGTTTTTGGCCGATATCCGCCTTCGATCTACGCCCCGGGTTAGTCGTATCTCTGGCGGAGGTGGTAGTCGCCTGCGCTTGGGCTGTTGGAGGCAGTGGCAGTAGTCGCGCTAGTTGTCGTCGGCGGAGGACGGCAGGCACGGCGGCGGCAGTAGTCGCGCTGATTGTCGGCGGCGGAAGAAGGCAGGCGTGGCGGCGGCAGTAGTCGTCGATTGACGCTGCGTTTTGATCTCAATCTTCTTTGCCTAGCGCTTCTGGTCTTCTTTTTTTGCAGAAATACGTAAGGGCATCCTCAACAGTGTGAAAATTTTGAGTAAATTTTATAAGTGTGATTAAGAAAGAGAAAATGAGAAGAGAAAAAAAAAAAAGATTAGAATTTGAAAAAAAGAAAAATCTCATTTTTGCAAGAAGCACCATTTTATTTATATTACACACTGCACACTTGGAAGCGAGATTACGCCTCACGCACGTGAGGCGCATGCACTCTTGGAAGCGAGAATTACGCCTCCCGCACGTGAGGCGCATGCACGCTTGGACGCGAGAATTACGCCTCACGCATGTGAGGCGCATCTTTCTCTCGCATAGTGGAACCCACTACTTCTGCAAAATCTCCATTTTTGCAGGACCAACTCACCATTTCTTTCTTTCCCCTCTCTATCCTCCATTTCATCCTAATTTCTTAAAATCTGGTCTAAAATTTTCCTTTTTGGGATACTTTAAGAGACAACGCAAATTATGTCGTGAAAACGTGTTCACCATCCATGGTGAACACAGTCCCAAACGGCGTTGTTTTTACGGAAAAATAAAAATAAAAATTAGTTAATGTGTTGTTAACGGCGTTTGGCATTCTATGTTCAGATTATGAATTTACATTTATTAAATTATGAATTTTCTGTTATGAGATTATGAATTTACAGTTATGTAATTATGAATTTTCTGTAAATTCAAAATCTCATAACAAAAAATTCATAATCTCATAAAAAAAAATATTTATTAAATTATGAATTTTCTGCTATGAGATTATGAATTTACAGTTATGTAATTATGAATTTTCTGTAAATTCATAATCTCATAACAGAAAATTCATAATCTCATAAAAAAAATTTATAATTTCATAACTGCACATTCATAAATCCATGCCTGCACATTCATAATTTATAATTGTTGAAGAAGCTTGCGCGAAGAAGAAGTGAAACCACGAAATGTGAAAATGAAGAAGAAAAGTCGCACTGTTAATTTAAAAATAAAAAATTGGTGAAAGATAACAGTGCCACAGACACCGTTACCGTTTGGGATCGTGTTCACCATGGATGGTGAAGACAGTTCCATTGCATAACGATTGAAGAGACAATGTTCGGGTTTTACTCTATTTCATTGTTTGGGCCTGGGTTTTGGTCTATTTGGCCCTGATCAAATTAAAAACAAAAAAGGGGGCTTTTAATGTTTTTGGGCCTGTTGGCCCAGTCTGGTTTAAAAATCAAAATGTGTGTTTTTGGGCCTTTTATTTGCTTTTGGGTATGTTGAGATTATATTGAGTTAATACCTAAAATCGTCCTCGACTATAGTGATTTTTCTCAATTTCGTCCTAAACGACTTTGGTGACCTAATATCGTCCCAGACTTTTGTGTTTCGCTCAATTTAGTCCTCCATTTGTTATTCCGTCAAATTGGTGTTAAATAAAGGGACAATTCAATAATGTCAATATTGATCTCTCTTTACTTTCAACTTGTGAAGTGTGAAATTCTTCTTTCTGGTACGAATTACACCCAGAATTACTCCCGGACCTGCAAATCAAATTTTATATCCGCAGTTTTAGGAGTAATTCTGGGAGTTATTCGTAAAAAAAAAAAAAGATTTCACAGTTCACATGTCTATGAGTAAAGAGATGTCAATATTAAAATTACGGAATTGTCTATTTATTTAACACCAAATAGACAGAATAACAAATGAGGGACTAAATTGAGCAAAAACACAAAAGTCTGGGACTAAATTGAGCGAAACACAAAAGTCTGGGACGATATTAGGTCACCAAAGTCGTTTAGGACGAAATTGAGAAAAACCACTATAGTCGAGGACGATTTTGGGTATTAACTCAGATTATATTCTTATTCAATTATTATTTGAATTCTATTACAGGACGTTTGGTTCACGGAATGAATTTTGAGGTAATAGGAATGCTATTTCATAAGGAATGGAATAGGCAAGGAATAGAATAGGAATTGTATTCTATTGTTTGGTTCGCGAAAGGAATAGACTTTAGGAATTATATTACAGTGTTTGGTTGACTTAAGGAATAGAAATGAAATATGTTTTAAAAGACATAAATACCCTTATAAAAAGGCGATGGTGATGGTGGTGGTGGCGGTGGTGGTGGTGGCGGCGATGGTGGTGGTGGTGGTGGTGATGGTGGTGGTGGCAGTGGTGGTGCTGGGGTGGTAGTGGTAGTGGTGGTGGTGGCGGTGGCAGTGGTGGGGGCGACAGTGACGGTTGTGGCAGTGGTGGTGGGGGCGGCGACGGTTGTGGCGGTGGTGGTGGTGGTGGCGGTGGTGCTGCTGGGTGGTGGTTCTGGTGGTGGTGGTGGCGGTGGCGATGGTGGTGGCAGTGGTGGTGATGGTAGTGGTGGCGGTGGTAGTGGTGGCGGTGGCAGTGGTGGGGGCGGCGATGGTGGTGGTGGTGGTGGCGGCGGCGGCGGTGATGGTGGTGGCGGCGACGACGGTGGTGAAATAGGATAAATTTATATATAGGATAAAAAAATTAGGTTAAATAAATGGGTAAAAAAAGAAAATAGATTCTAAAATCTATTCCTGAGCGTTCAGTAATAGGTTAATACCAGGGGGGGCCCTAGTAATAGCTATTACCTTATTTGAGTTAATAGGCTATTACCAGGAATATTATTCCTGGTAATAGAAATGGTTACCAAACAAAAGAATAGGCCTGGGAATGTTATGCCATTCCGGGCCTATTCCGTGAACCAAACGGGCCATTATTGAATATGTCACCTTGTGCTCAGATGACATGTAGTGACCTCTCCCATGTGGGATGTCAGAAATCTTTTATGCTTCATTAGGTTGAGAAAGTATGTTTAAACAGATAATACAATGTAATAAAGTCAGTAGCATTCAAAAAAATTACTTGCTATTTTGTGCAATTTATTTGGGTCATATGATTTTATGAGTTCCTATGCATATTCTATTTTATTAGCATAACAAAATAGTTTCGATTATGTGAATTATAAATTATTCTTTACAAGTGGACCCTCGATTTTTAGCCAAACTTAGTATATAACTATATATAGATTTTTTTTGAAAATTTTAGATCTTGGCTACTATCACCAAATATGAATTTACCAAACTTATCGTAGACGATGGCAATTATTTAACATGGGCTATTGATGTTGAGATTTATCTCATATCTACGCAACTTGAAGACACGATCGTTAAGAAATCTACAAGCAGTGCAACCTGGAAAGCTAAAAGCCTTATTTTTTTTATCCCTTTTTTCTCGCCAACTTCTGAATCATGACCTGAAAAATGAATACCTTCCTAAAAAGGACCCATATGCATTATAAAAATTCCTGAAGGATAGTTTTGACTAGCAAGTATCGTTGACCCTTCCTCAGACACAATTTTACTGACTTAACTTGAGATTTCAAGATTTTAAAGTCATGACTGATTATAATTTGGTTTTACATTGTGTACATCTTGAGGCCCCCCTCCCCCATGCTAGCTGTAAAGCACAACCAACTGTTGATGTAAAATAATAATGCATGCCCAGTTGAATCTACACCAGTGCCCGAAGCACACAATATTTCCCAATCGTGCAACACCAAGAGGGGCTAAGGAAGATGTCGCGATAGGGATCAAGGCCAAGGTGGCAACAATAACTCTCGAAACTAGAATAAACAACAAAATGATCTATCTCATCAACCACATTCATAAAATCATAACTCTGGCCCAACAACAAGTATGCTTCAAGTGTGAGTGTAATAGGCACTGATCACGTGTGTGCCACACCTCGAAGCATTTTGTTGAAACTTGAATAAACATCACAATGTTGAATCCGACCAAGTTGCCTTGCTTGAAGCAACCGCTCTTGTTGGCCATATTGATGACCTCCTTTTTCTTATGTTCCTTTTTGGATGAATGTTATATACATACAAACCTCTAACTTCTTCCTGCCTTTATTGATAAGGTTTCCTTTGTGGGCTCCAGTAGAGCTTCACTTTTACTCCATCAATTTAAAAACATTAAGTGAATTGGTTTTAATGACAAAACCAGAAATATTCATAACTTGAAATACCTTATCATAACTCAAATTGTTAAGTGGTAGAAAACAAGGAGCTCAACTAGTTATAACCTACTTCGATCACATGTTTTTCACCTAATATGTATACATGTGTTATTCGTCTTTCACGAATTACAGAGTCGAATATGAGTCGTATGTTTAATGTGCGAATGGATGAATAATACTGGATAATGCCCAATTTCTCGATTATCCCCTAGTTTGTCGGTCCCTTAATAGGGAAATGCAATATTGCATGCTCCTGATATACTTTGACTCCGACCCACTGCATATATTATTCCCCCATACACTAAATACGTGGTTTTCAAATTAAACATTTCCTAATCTGCGTTTCTATTCTTACGTATGCAGTTCATTCTACTGTATCACCACCATAGTGTATCTCTAAACATCCATCTATTATCTCAATTTTTAGAGCCCCGGAAAGGGACTCAATGCATACGCTGACTGCATAAAGATCAGTTCACGGCATTAGGGGGAGATATGATCAAATTTCATGGAAATCTCGAGAAATTTCATAGAATGAAATGATCTTCAATAATTAAATGCACGTACCAATTAACTGAATTGGAAGTTCATAAGGAAACCAAACATATCTGCCAAACATATCTATTTCATAAGGAAATCAAACATATCTGACAACCTGGATCCAGAGCTAAGTGTCAGAAGCGCCTAGATAGATTAACGTATAAAAAGAGCAATTAAGGCATATATATAGCACAACTCGCTGATAAATATATTCATTTTATACACCATTGAAGTGTTAACCCTGTAGGTTATAAATGGTGTTTGTATGAAAGAGAAACAAGAATGATAATGTGGTGTGATATAAAGAGAGTTTATAGCCCAAAGGTTCACGCAGAGATCCAGAATCATATATACTCTCCCATGATGAATATCATTAAAAGTTCCGCTACATAATTGGCAGAATAATTTTAGATATGCAGCTTATTAAAGTCATGACCTTAAAATTATGGGTCGCTAGACATTAATGTTTATTTGAAAAAAAATCCTTAATTGATTTATAATTCTCAAAATGAAAGAAAGTAAATATCACAACATGTTTGTTGTTGAAATAGAAAGGTTTTACTTAACTTGAAATAGTAAAGCAATTGACTGAGTAATTTCCTCTAAAGTAGGAAAATGTAAAAATGAATATGTACCATTAGGTATTTATCATTGTAAGGACAATATCAGTCCCGATGCGATCATGGAATTTCTTGTTCTACAATAGTGCTCCAATAGCAATGAAGTAATGGACTTCCAGTCTCAAAATATCTTCATTATCTTTAATTTATAAATTTATGCGATATACCGATGTGTGTTTTTCATAGACCACTTGGTATTGACTCCTTTTGATCTCCATGATGCCAAAATCCCAAACTAGTTATATTTGTTTTACCTTCACTGCCACATGAGAGGATAATAAAGTGTGTTTTATACAAATTATAAGTGGGTGTGTTTAAGGAGTATTAGACAAGTTACATCAATATTCAACCCATGTAAGCTCCAGAAGAGTCACGAGATTATTATATAAAATGTTAACTCTAGTGACAATCTTGAAGATTGTACGATATCTCTTCTCTACTAAACTCTTTTGAAACAATAAATTTTATCATGTTGAACTTGAAGATTGTTGTCTTCAGGGGGAGATGGGGAGTACATTTACTCAAATCAATCCTGAAGAATTGGACTTAAAATCTTGAAGATTGGGTTTAAAGACTCTTAGTTGTACTCTTTTGCAACATATGTTATGTATGCATACATATCATATACTCTTTTCCTGACTAGATTTTTCCCATTGGATGGGTTTTTCTAGTGTGGTTTTTAACGAGATATGAGTATGATGTAGTAATGTCAATGGGGGAAAGTTGCAAATAAATACTTAAATAGACAAACCCCAAAATCCTGAAGATTATGCCTTAAAGGCTTATGGTTGTACTCTTTTTCCCTTAAATAAGATTTTTTTCCCACAGGGTTTTCTTAAGTTAAGGTTTTTAATGAGGCAATCCAAATAATACATGAATTATCCATATATCGTGTACTATGTTCTCGACTAGTTTTTCCCCACAGGGTTTTTCTAGCGAGTTTTTAACGAGGCATGATTTTGGAAAAATAATGTCCAAGGAGGAGTGTTATAAATATTTTAATTATGTGGACATTATTATGTAATGGCTATATTTATGCATCCATTTATGTTTTTCATTACGGTTTGTAATTCTATATATTGTAACATGTATTATGTACTATTTTAGATATGATGAAATAAATTAAAATTCTTATCATGTTCATTTTCTCTCTACATTTGTAACTATGTTCTTCTTCCTTTCTTTTGTATTACGTTCATCACAGATACAATTCGTTTCTCCGAGGATGGCTACGAGCTAAAGGCTAGGATTCCAACACTTCTTACAGTAAATTAAAAGTGGAAAATGCAAAGCAACCCCACACCCCAGCCAATATAATCACTTTCACAAAATGTTAGGGCAAAATTATCTTCGGGCCGCATGCGAGTAAGTCATTCTTCAATGATATCCAAGTTCGACATGCGCCACATTTTCTATGTAGTTACCCTTATAAACTCGGCCAACAAATCTTCATCTGTTGAAAATTCACTTGCCTCACTAGCATTAATGGCCTCCGTTATATCTTCATTGGCCATTTTTAGAGCCAATTCGGCGTCAACATCTATTAGACTTTGAGGTGCAGCTGGGTCCTGAGTAGTGTCTTTGCTGATCCTTTCAGCGGATGCACTAGCTTCACGAGCTATCCCGGCAACGACGTCGGTCAGGTTCTCACTCACCACTTTTTCTACTTGCGTGTGTTCTTTTGGTATCGCGGGTAGACTTGGCTTCTCAAACTGCAATCTCCAACTCCTCAGTCCAAGGGATCTCATCGTTTACCTCTCGAATGGACGGCTCGGTCCTACTAACCTCTCGAGCCTGTTCCAAATGAGGTTGTTCCCCCTCAGTTGGTGTTGTCTTGGCTACTGGCTCTTCCAATTGCTCGGTCACCACATGCTCGACTATCTCGGTTGGTTTACTTTTCGGCTTCTTGGGCAGGATGTTTTGGTTTGGCTCGAGGTGCTCACAGCCAGTTTCCTATTGGCTTGGACTTTTCTAATCACCTTGGCCAAGGGAACATTCGATGAGCTTTTCCGCCTGAGCTGGGGTCTTTTTGGATTTCTTTATAGGGGAAGCAGTCAGACCTTTCGATGCAGGGGGCCGGGCTTTGTCCTCACGTAGTAGTTGTTCCTATGGGCTGCCACGCCATTTCGGAGCTTGACTTCCTTTGACCTCATCAACTCGGTCACCAAGAACCCGAAAACTACTTGCTTGATCAAGGTTCGGTTCTGGACTGCTCTCTCAATGTATGATTTGAGAAAATCATACACTACCCTTGACCAATCTACTAGGTTGTTTTTTAGGAGTGCATTTAGCATTGATAACTTCTCCTCCGTGACATCATCTGTTCCAGCAACTCTACTTTCAACGATCTTGCTAATGATGTCAACTGCCATTTCGAACTCCGGCTTGAGCAGTTTCTTCTTCAAGTAAAACTTGAGATTAGCACGAAAGGGATGATGATGATATAGGTAATGATTTTTGGACGATTAAAATTACATTAAAATATTAAACATAAACAATCAAATTTAAAAATATAATAAAATTCTAATAGAAATCAGTAAAGAAGAAAGAATTGAATTAACCAATAAATAGTAAGTAGGACAAATATAATGTGACAGATGAAGTAATAGTTATATTATTAACTAATAAAGAAGTGAAATAGACTCATAAATTGGTTGCCTTCATGTATAGATTTCCTTTGGTCATTGTCTATGATTTTCTGTTGTGCAAATTTGTGTTTATAATTCTCAATAATTCTGTTGCGTAAATTTGTGTTTATACTTTATAATTCTCAATAATTTAGTTTTAAAAAAATTAGAAAATTAGGAAAATGAAAAAAATGGAAGAAACGAAAGTTTGATAAAATAAAATAAAGGCAACAAGATTTTAAAATTTTATAATAAAAAAGGGAAAATTGAATTTTTCGTTCCTAAATTATACAATAATTGTAGAATTTTTTTCCTAAGCATGGGTCATACTCACTTTTAATCTCTAAGTTATTATTGATTTTGCACTTTTCGTCCTTTTACTATTAAAACATTAGGGACTAAATTTGCAATGTTAGAATAACGCAGGGACGAAAAGTGAGCACGAAAGGAGGAAGAGTGCAACGCGAATAATAACTTAGGGATGAAAAGTGAGCATGACCAATACTAAGGGATGAATTCTACAATTACCCTATAACGTAAGGACGAAAAGTGTAATTTTTTTTATAAAAAATATAATAAATGGGAAATGTTAGATTATCTGGGTTGCTATCGTGTTGGTTGCTCTGACTGCTTCCACCATGTCACCCACATCCCCCTCCCACCCGCCCTCTACTCTCCGTTTCGTTTTCTTTACGTCAAAGCCGAAGCAAAGAGAAGACAAAGACCCACAAACGTCATAGACCTCAAGTCAAGCTCTCTCTCTCTCTCTCTCTTTCTCTTTGCGTAATGTAGTGACTACAACCTGCTACTTGTATTCCTCTCCCCTCTCCACCTGCTCATCCCCTCTTTCCTTCATTGCCTCACAATTCCAGGAAACCATAACCTTTTCAAGTTTCTTGGACCTTCCAAAGAATGGGTGGTTCTCCCAGGCTCAAAGTTTTGATCTTTATTATGATTTGTATTTCTGTTTTTTTGGGTTTGGATTTTGTTGAAGGGAGATTCATAGTGGAGAAGAGTAGCATAAGCATCGTTTCTCCCTACTCTATGCACGCAAAGTATGATGCTTCCATTGGGAATTTCGGAGTTCCTGACTATGGAGGCTCTTTGGTTGGCACTGTTGTGTACCCTTCAAAGGGTGCCTTTGGGTGCTCTGCTTTTGAGGGTGATAAGCCCTTCAAGTCTAAGACTCCTCGCCCCAATATTCTTCTTGTTGATCGTGGAGGTAATCCAATACGGTATTTGTTTTGTTGTGTGAAAATATGATAGAAATTTAAATTATGATCTCTGGATGTGATTATTGAATTTTTCCATCTACTCTTGCATAGGAAAGAAGTTGTAGCTTTGACAAAAAATATTCATACTTTTAAACCTCAGCTTTTGTTTTTGTTTTTTGTTTTCTTTGGTATCTATCAAAAAGTAGTATAATTTTATTTTCTGGTAATTCTCCTTCAAATGGAGTTATTACTCTGAATTGTTCAAAGATGGTGGGGTGTTTGGTAAATGACTTTTAGATGATTGTGTTAGTGGATTTGATTAATTGATAATATTAATTTATTATAGAAAAGTGTTTAGTAAATTAGTTGTTAGTTTTTAACTGATTATATACAAAATATTTTTCTCAAAAAATTAATTAAAAAAGTTACTTTAAGTGGCATTTTGAATTTTAACATTTTGAAGCAATAAATTATTATAAAAAATTAATTAATCAAATACTCATATTGATTGTTTAATCAAGTTAAACACTCATAATGGTCAAATAAATCGAAATAGACTGATAGGTTAATTATTTTACCAAAAAAGCCCATATCAGCTGGGGGAGTGGCCGGCTCTGCTGATGCTAGAACGGTTGACTTTGGCCGATAGAACCTAAGCAGTATGCTTTGTTTAATCCGAAAGTTGTAGCATGGTAGTTGTTTCCTTTATGTTGACCTTTCATATTAATTCTATGTTGACTTTTCAAAAAGCAGTAACTCCCGCCCGAGATGCAGACATATATATATATATATATATATATATATATATAATTTGTTATAGGGTAGGCCAGTAGCTATATACAATGAAAAATGAATAAAACCTTCTTTGCAAGGATGTAAATGGATAGTGATTTTATTTTTATATTTTAGTTCAGTTTTATCTGTAGTTATCTAGATATAATAATGATTAAGGACCAATTTCTCTCTGCGAATAATAGAAATACAATCAAGATCCCGCATGGACAGTATTTGAGAGAAGAGATAATATTTGAAATTCGGCAGTAACAATGTAGAGATTATGTTTAAAGTGGACAGATTTCTTGTGTGCACTAGAATTTGACTTTGTCTACTGAGCCATTGAGTTACAGTAATTTATATCCTCTCAGATAATCTGTCAGGCTGAGATACGGGGGCACTTCAACCTTTTGAGAGAAAAAATAAGGACCCCAGAAATTTCATTGAGGGGCAAAGTGGACTTCTATCAAGATTTCAATTTCAATTTCAATTTGATTAGGTTTATCTAACAAGGAAGGAATCTATGTTTCTTGGAGTTAAAGGGATATCCTAATTCATGTGTGTGTGCATGGGGCCAAGGCCTAACTCACCCTCTATGGATATGTATATGTATGTTATAGTGTTTTACAGTAACTAACTCTTTAAATAGCTGTAACTCCAACTAAAATGGCAAGAGATCCACACTTGTAACGAGTTTGAATCGTTGCCCAGTTGATAGAAGTGCTTAATTATCTTTCCTAATAAATAATATTTCGAGACATTAAAACTTCTCCCTGCCCTTTCCAGAATGCTACTTTGCATTGAAGGTCTGGAATGGACAACAGGCTGGAGCAGCAGCTGTTTTAGTAGCTGATACCATTGATGAGAATCTGATAACTATGGATTCTCCCGAAGAAAGCTCAGATGCAGATGGATACATAGAGAAGATCGGGATTCCATCAGCTTTGATTGAACAGTCCTTTGGCGAGACCTTGAAGGTGGCTCTAAAGAAAGGAGAAGAAGTTGTGATCAAAATGGATTGGACGGAGTCGATGCCCCACCCTGATGAGAGGGTGGAGTATGAACTATGGACTAATAGCAATGATGAGTGTGGGATTCGTTGCGATGAGCAGATGAATTTTATCAAGAATTTTAAGGGGCATGCCCAGATTCTTGAAAAGGGTGGTTATACTATGTTCACCCCTCACTATATAACATGGTATTGTCCGCAGGCTTTTATTGCTAGCAGTCAGTGCAAATCTCAGTGCATTAACCACGGGAGATATTGTGCACCTGATCCCGAACAGGATTTTGGGGAAGGGTATGAAGGAAAGGATGTCGTCTTTGAGAACTTGAGGCAGCTTTGTGTTCACAGGGTTGCAAATGAGAGCCAAAACTCCTGGGTTTGGTGGGATTTCGTCACGGATTTTCACATCAGGTGTTCAATGAAGAAAAACCGGTATAGCAAAGAATGTGCAGAAGAAGTCATGAAATCTCTTGGTAAGTTCTCCCTTGCTCGATCAACAGATTCTTTGATATTTGGACCATAAAATACTATACTTAATAATTGAAAAGCTTCGTTTTTACCTCGTCAGACCTGCCCGTTGAGAAGATAAAGAAGTGCATGGGTGATCCTGAAGCTGATGTCGAAAATGCAGTCCTGAAAACTGAGCAAGACCTACAGGTTCAATGCTTTCATTCATTTCATTTTACCTGGGACTGGGGATTATTGGCAGAGTGTTATATGTATTATATGCTCATCTCTTTTTTTATGGAGTGACGCGGAGATTTGAACCATTGACCTTTGGCATGGCTCTGATACCAAACTGAAGCATGTGCTACATATCAACTAAAAGTCTAAGCTGATAGTTAGATTGTACAGTTATGTTTATATGTATTATATGTTCAACAGTACATATGCCTCTAAAAGTGTTTTTTTTTTTTAATATTTGTTTTAGGTTGGTAAAGGTTCTCGTGGTGATGTTACTATCTTGCCTACAATGGTCATAAATGATGTCCAATACCGAGGTTGGTTATATAATTTTATGTTGCCATTTTGGTTAAGCTTATATGGGTGCTAGTCTAAACCCTTGTGCTTTCTGAAGGTAAACTTGAGAGGACTGCTGTATTGAAAGCCATATGTGCTGGGTTTAAGGAAACAAGTGAACCTGCAATTTGTCTTAGTGGAGGTTTGCTTTTGAGTTCTTTGCATTGGTTTAATCTTGACTGAAAAGATTCTTATTCACATGTGATGGGATGATGTTTTATTATTATTATTTTTGATTGACATTCAGATCTTGAGACAAATGAGTGTCTTGAGAGGAATGGCGGGTGCTGGCATGATCCAAAATCTAACGTAACAGCCTGCAAGGTATTTAAAGGAATGAATGCTCTGTTGTTGTTTGCAGATAATTTATTTGTTAGGATCAAGCCTTTATCATTGCGGTAAAGCTATAGCTAGTAGCTAAAGCAGAACTTTATTACCTTATGCCGCGGCTACACATTTTTGCAATCATTATTACATGGACCATGGTCCACACAATTGTGTAGATTATAAATAAAAAGTACATTTTTAATATATTAAAGGTACATTATTTATGTACGTAAGATACACTTTTTGAAAGTACATTTTTTGAAAGTACATTTTCAATACAAAAATAATATACTTTTAATATAGTAAAAATGTACCTGATATTCATGATGCACACAATAATTTGCCACATTTTTGAGAGTCAGGTGCTGAACTTGGTCTTTTATCCGTCTCCGCCCAACAATTTCCCTAGTCACATAGTGTTGGACTTGACGCTTACCGGCCTCCAGCCAACATTATTCGTTATAAGTATGATTATGCTTTATGAAATGCTCATTCCCCATAGCCATTAACCAAATTTTCTTTTTATTAAGGACACATTTAGGGGAAGAGTATGCGAGTGCCCATCGATGAATGGTGTTCAGTACAAAGGAGACGGATATACATCATGTGAAGGTACGGTTTCCAACTCGATCATATGCTTAAATTGCATTATTTTTTTTTTTTTTGAATGCTTAAATTGCATTATTTAATCTGCTTAAAGTTTTTTTTTTTTTTTTTTTTTTTTTTTTTTTTTTTTTCCAAAGCTGTTGGACCTGGAAGGTGCACGGTAAATAATGGCGGTTGCTGGTCAGAGACAAAAGACAGAACAACTTTTTCTGCTTGCTCAGTTCAGTGATGCAATCCCTTCTCTAAAATCTCCTTCTCTGTCTATTTTATTTGAAACTTCAATTTTCTAAAATATGTCTAATACAAAGTAGGAAGCTCTTATTACCGGCTGTAAATGTCCCTATGGCTTTAAAGGGGATGGCCATAAATGTGAAGGTACGTACTCTCTACTAGTTGCCTCTAAATCTTTTAAATAGTGGACAAGGTTGAAAAAATCGCTAGGCGCCTGAGAACCGTCTAGTGTACCTAGAGCGCTTAGGTGATCGAATGTCTAGTGTCTAGGCCTGATTTTTGTAACACTGACAGTGGGCATTATATATATACTATATTCTTTTGATATGCAAAAATATATGTTCAATATTTATATTTTTAAAAATAAGTAACAAATTTTTACTAATTAAAATCTATATGAAATTAAATTTAGAAATAATGGTCAAATAGGCCATCAAACTGCACTCAATAATGCAATTAGGCCACCGAACTTTAAAAAGCTACAATTGGGTCCCTGAACTAACCAATAATATTCAATTAGTTCAATTTGTAGGTTTTTCAGGTAAACTTCTAATTTAAAATATTTTTAAAAAATAATTACTTAAATTTTAAAAAAAAAAAAAAAAAAAAAGATACCGTCTCTGCCGGAGACGAAGAAACCTTCTTCGTCTCCGACCATGGAGACGGAGATAACTTCTTCGTCTCCATGGCAGGAGACGAAGAGTCCCTTCGTCTCCGGCCAGAGACAAAGAAGTTATCTTCGTCTCCATGGCTGGAGACGAAGAAACTCTTCGTCTCCAGCTAGAGACGAAGAAGGTTCCTTCGTCTCCGGCCATGGAGACGTCTCCATGGTCGGAGACGAAGTCGATGTTCTATCTTTTTTTTTTTTTTTTTTTTTTTGTTTGTTTTTAATTTTAAATAATAATTTTAAAAAAAATATTTTGAAAAGGGGTGACCTGCTAACAACTTGGAAAACCTACCAATAAGACTAATTGCATAAAATTGGTTGGTTCAGGGACCCAATTGTAGTTTTTTTTAAGTTCGATGGCCTAATTGCATTATTGAGTGCAGTTCGATAGCCTATTTGTCCCTTTTTCCTTAAATTTATTTATTATATATTAATCCAATATGTAATGTCTACAAATATTATTATCTTTAAAGAATATAAGAAAAATATGCTAGATGCATGTGCATGGTAACAATAATGGAAAAGATAACAGAAGTTATAATGGTAGGGATATTTTTGTCCAAAAAATTGTATAATACAATTTTAAAAGCACAATGTACAAAATGATTACCACTAAAAACATGGACATAAATTTGGGATATAACTTTAATTGAGACTTATCATGTTTATATATATATATATATATATATATATATATATATATCTACTATACTAATAAGAGCCCAAGAGAGTTAGGCCTATAATGGGTAGAAAAAATGGCGGTCAAATTTTTTAATCAAATGAATGGCTCAGATTGATCAGATTTTAAATTTTCCTTAAGATTTCCTAATTTATCCTTAATGAATATGATTATTCGTTAACTTTTCCGTTAAATATTATCTTTTCCGTTAATTTCTGTTACTTCACCGTTAACTTATTCATTGATTTCAATAAGAAAGGTCTTAGGTTCGAACCCAATCTATTTTACTCTTATTAAATTAATTATAATAATTTAGTAGCTATAACAGAAAATAATATATATGCATTTCTTTAATTTAGAATTATGTGTCTACAATGTCTTTATTCAAAAAAAATTATTCATTATCAATAAATTAAATAAGACAAATAATTTCATTAGTTATATTGTCTTTATTTTTCTCCAATATAAAAATTCTTTACTTTCAAATTCATCAATTGGTTATATTTGCTACATTGTTCCTACAATGTCTTTACTTAAAAAAAAATTATTCATTATCAATATATTAATTAAGAGACATAATTTTATTAGTTATATTCTCTTTATATTTCTCGAAGTAAAAATTCTTTAAATTCAAATTTCAAATTCATCAATTGATTATATTCATTACATTGTCTATTATCTTTTTTTTTTTGTGCAATATTTTTTAATTAAATATCAAAGTTATAATACAAAAGAATGCTATATATTTATTTATCAAGTATTTTATTAATACCATGAAAAAAATTAAAAAATATAATTAATAAAGCCAATCATATTTACTACTTGAGGGATTTGTTAACAAAGACAGTATTCAAATCACACAACAAATTAAAGTGAGAACTACCTCGCAATGTTCTTGTTTGACAATCAACAGTTAGCAGTTAACGTTAGCGGATTATATTAGCGAATTTGACCAGCGAATTATATCAACGATTGCTAAAAAGATATTTGAAAAAATTAGCTGTTTAGATTAACATGTAAAATGACCTAAAGGTATAATAATAATAATAATAATTATTATTATTATTATTATTATAATAATTATAATTATAATACTAATTGTTTTAAAAAATAAAAAAATAAAAAAATAAAAATATATAATTAAGCCAATCATATTAACTACTTGGGTAATTTATTGACAAAAAGAGTATTCAAATCACAGTTTTCAAAAAAAAAAAAAAAATCACACAACAAATTGAAGTGGGAAACTATCTCGCAATGTCCTTGTTTGGCAATTAGCAGCTAAGCTCTTCAATATTAGTATATATTTAATATTTTATGCCCTAATTTTTATTTGCTTTCCCTTATGTCCTGTATTTGGTTTCAACCATACCTATACAATTATTTTATTGACAATTATAATCAATCTTGACTATATTATCTTGCATTTGTAAACTTAGAATTGTATATTTAAATACACAAATTTAATATTCAATTATTTATACATGAACAATTCCAATATAATCTTGCCCTGATATACTTTAAAGTACTTAAAAAAAAAAAAATCATTGGGCATTATCCCATCGCGCAATGCACGTAAAAAACTAGTATATATATATATGTTGGGCTGAGGACGGTAAAGGGTTAAGTTCATCAATTGGTAACTAGGGGATTGTTAGGCGGAGGCAGATAAAGAGGAGGATTGTTGGGCGGAGGCAGATAATAGGTCAAGTTCAGCATCTATCCTCTCAAAAATGTAATGACGGCTTATAAAGAAATAAAATTTTACCCTCGTTACGGGCTATAACTTGGCGTGGTGGTAAGCGTTTGATGTGATCCTAAGATTTAAGAGTATATATTTCATTGCAGATGTAGACGAATGTAAGGAAGGCACGGTTTGTCAGTGTGATGGTTGCAAGTGTAAGAACACATGGGGTGGATATGACTGCAAATGTAAAGGAGATAAATTGTATATAATGGAGCATGACACATGCATTGGTAAGAAATTTTCTAATTAATTTTTTTTTTTTTTTTTTTTTGTTCCATAGACCACAACGTGAGAATCATGCGGAGTCGTCATTAATGCATTCATTTTAATTTGATTCTGTATATTGTACAGAAAGACAGTCATCAAAACTTGGAGGCTTCCTAACTTTTGCGGTTATAGCTGTTGTACTTGGTGCTGGAATAGCTGGATACATATTCTACAAATACAGACTTAGGGTATGTGGATTGAACAAACTAACTAGCTTACAAAATAAATTCCCATATAGACTCGTTCATGATGACAAAATTCAAACACGTGGATCGTAGTCACTTTTTTTATTTAAACACATGACTTTTGGTTTGGCTCTGATACCAAAATGAACCATCTCAACTAAAAACTTAAGCTGATAGTTGGATGGTTTATGCTTAACGGACAATAATATAATGTTCATATTTTGTGTTTGCAGTCATACATGGACACAGAGATTATGGCTATCATGTCGCAGTACATGCCTCTCGACAATAACCATCAGAATCAGGTTGTTCAACACGAAACTGAACCTTTACGAGACGCCTCATCTGTATGAAGAAGCGTCTTGGTTGATTTGTTGACTATACAGAATGCATCAGTGATGCCGGTGAGACTCAACTTAACAGCTACACATTCGAGACAAGTCATATGGTACGGTGTTTTATAGTCTCTACATCTAAATTCTGTCTGGTTCCACTCAATTACTTGAGGATATAGATTATATCAATAACCGAGCTCGCTGCGTTTGTGTATAAAATGGATCTACAGAGTAGATGGATGCTAATTATACTTGGAATCATTTCTATATATGTACACAAAACAATACAGGATTGGTCTGGGGGTTATTTTGAGCACCACAACTTGTGATTTTTTTATTTTTTTTTGTGGGGTCAAGCATGAGGTGGTGGAAAGAGAGTAGAGGAAAGAGAAATGTGAAGAGCTCCCCGTAATAATTGTTTTTTATGGGGCCTATTGAAAAATAAAAATTAAAAACAACCTATTCTAGTGCACATTGTGCGCACATCACACTAGATGTGATGTGCTAAGCACGGCGCGTGACCTCCACGCTCTTGAAAAGGAGTCGTAAATTTTGAATGCAAGTGAATCCTTAAAGTTCTATTTAATTTTAAATAACAGTTTATTTATCATTGATTAGGTTTGTTTTCCATATAAAGAAAGAATAAAATAAAAGACAAGTACAGAAAATAAAACCAGGAACACAGTAATTGGTAACGCAATTCGGAGTTTAAAACTCCTACGTCTACGGGGCAACTCACATCAGTTCAATCCACTAGATGTTCACCAAGATTATAGGGATCGGTATGACACATTCACATACACAAAGAGGCCTCAGCCAACTACACCAACAGTAGTCCAACATAATCTTCAAAACATGTACATTGGAACGTTACGTGCAAGGCAAAATCAATCTTCAAACTTCATCACGCCAAAAGCATTTCTTGAGCGAACCTTGTGAACATTTTTACCGATTTAAGATAGGTAAATAATCAGCTAAGTATAAGAGATTAATCCTTCGAATTAGAGCCTTGAAGTCATGAATATGAAACCCAGAATCTTCACTTTATATGCACAATATGTGCTGTCCAGATTTCCATATTTAATAAGCACCACACAATTTAAATCTAGCTTGAAAACTTGTTCAAACCAACAGAATTTTTTTAGATAAATTCGCTGAACATGCTGATCACTGACACTGATCCAAAAGATAGTTGAGATAAATCCAGTGATGAAGACTATGGTGCTGAAACTGACCCCAGACAGAAATGCGTTCCATAAATATTCTAAATAAAAATATAACTTAAGTTTTGACAAATAATTAGTCAATTAAATTAAGATTAAAATGTGTATTATTTGTACACTTACCGTTCCAACTGGGCGTGAGTTAACTTTTTTTTTTTTTTTCCATATTTTTCTTTTATTTCAGTTTCTCTTTCCTACTTGGCTTGAAAAAACTTGCAAAAACAAAACAAAACAAAACAAATAAAAACAAAAAAAAAAAAAAACAAATGAAGTTGCTATTAGGATATTACTTTTAGAGTATAGCTAATAGCTTACTAACAAGTTGCGCCGTGAAGCCACCCACCCCCACGACTATGCCAATTTTGAGTCGTTATACTGTGCATGGTGCACACGAATGCAAAAACGACGTCGTTTTGACGTTGACTTAAAAAAAATAATTCAGAATTGCATAACTGCACATTCATAGTTTCATAACTATACATCAAGAATTGCATAACTATACATCCAGAATTGTATAACTACACATCCATAACTTCATTAATATAAATCCAGAATTGCATAACTACACATCCATAATTTCATAACTATAAATCCAGAATTGCATAACTCACTACTGGAAATTCTGAAATTTCCGACCACCCGAAAGTGATCTTAAATCAAGTCAAAAGTCTTGTTCCGACCACTTTTGGTATCCGGAAAAACCTTTGTTGCTATTTCCGACCACTTTTTGGTATCAATTTGATTTAAGTTCACTTTCAGGTGGTCGGAAATTTCATAATTTCCAGTAGTGACTATACATTCAGAAATTATGCACAACATAATGTTGTTGACGGAAATCGAAACTGATTTTTTTTTTAAAAGTTAGACACGCTTTTTTAGTCAAAACGACGTCGTTTTTGCATCCGTGTGCACCATGCATGGTGCACACGGATGCACAACATAATTTGCCGCCAATTTTATTTTATTTTTTTGTGTGTAAATCACGAAGTATTCCACGTCTTTCTCTATCCATCTTATGGTTCGAGTCCATTCGAATATCCCCGCTCACTTTGAGAGGCATACCATTTTTATTAATGCTACTCATTTATTGATTTATTCCCCTGACTGAGTTCAATTATCCATGGCAATGGTGTTTCTCTTTAAAGCTAGCATAAAACATGAATGACAAGATCAGATTGCAAATCACTTGCATCCCAAGTCCACTTAATTAATGGTGTGAACTTGATTGCGACAAATTATATCATGGACAGATTAACATGTGCATAAATTCATTAAAACTATTCTGTAGGGTTATAAAATTATATCAATTCACAAATCATCATTTAAATATATTATTTTCTATTTCTTTTTGTATAAATAGAATCAATATATAAAAAGTAAAATGTAAAAAAAAAAAATCGTATTAGCATATTTTAAATGATACTTATGTAGCACGGAAACAGGAATAACAATAACAATAATAATAACAACAACAACAACAATAACAACAAATAACAAAAAAAGAGACATAAAGGATATATTGAAGTTCACGAAGGTCAAGCATTCCAAAAAGCTCACAAACGTCATTTATCAAGTTCAACAGACTCAAAAGCTCAACAAGACTCTAATTAAAGTTTCTAAGTTTAAGTTTTACTTTCAAGGTTTGTATCGAATCATTGTGTACCTCTACCAAGGGTAGATAGGGGAAGAGTAGTAGGAGATTGCATGTGAAAACTTAGTTCGTCGTGCTGGTTTTGTGATCAAAGCATTTGATCTGTGATTCATTATAATTGTACCTATTGGAGAATTGATTATAGTGAATAATTCCTCCTGGACATCAGGAGAAGAGTGAAGTAGAAGTGTTATATAACTTTGAACCATTATAAATTATTTGTCCCATTTACTTTACATACACTTTATTTTCACCATATCTAATCTTTCTTCACTTGGTTTAATTTCTTGAAAACCTATTTTCCGCTACACAGCTTTTTATTCTGGACTATATAGTTAAGTGGTCAACATTTTGAAAGTGTTAATAAAAACTTAACTTACTTAGTCATCGTTTGAAAAATTTTCAACTTTCTTTCAAAACTTAGAAAATCTACAAAGTGCATTCAACCCTCGCCCCCGCTTCTTCTCCTCTAGACTTTGTCTTCATTAAATCGGGAGCAACGACGCTTTTGGTGGCTTTTCTAGTTTCTAAGCTTCATTTTATGGTAATCCTTGAGTTCCTTGCATTGTCAACTACCAAATATAGCACTAAGATTAATAAACCATTCTATTGATATGTTTGTTAATGTATTATGCCATTTAGAATAGAAGACTCCATAAAGAAAATTTTTCTTTTCATCTTTTGTGAATTACTCTTCTATATTTAACTTATTCTGCCATATCACCGTTTTTGTCGACTGGCCGAGCTTTATACTTCATGACCTTTTTATTATTTTTTTTGAAAGTCAATCTTGCGATTGTATTAATGAATCAAAGCTGAAATAGCGTCAGGTGGGATAGCATCTCAGTACATAGCTTGATCCTGAGTAAATGCTAACGTAGCTAAAGTATGCGCATGTAAATTAATCTGCCTAGAGATGTAATCCAAAGTAATACGATTAAACAATGACATAAACGTTCTGCACTGGTCATCTGTGACCCCAACGTACGAATGGATCGGCGTGTGATGGTGTCTGATAATCGCCGCCAATTCCATGCAATCCGTGAGTAAACTTACTGATGTGTTGCCCCGTTCAAGTAGCCAGGACAAAGCCTCCTTGTATGCCTGGGCCTCTGCCATAAGTGGTGAAAAACAGATTGGTAACTTGCCATTCCTTGCTGCCACAAACGAGCCATCTGGCGCTATAATTATCATGCCGTAAGTAGCCTCGCCCGTGTCGTGCCGGAAACCCGCGTCCACATAACATCGTAGACCATCCTCCCCTGGACCGTTCAAGTGGTCCGTCGCCGGTGCCGGCTTGGTTCGGCGGACATGGGCAGCGCCGTACGCTTGCAGCGCTCCGGTGGCTGCTCTGACCAATTGGGTAGGCCGCATCATTGATCCCTTCCAGACAGCTGAATTCCGGGTTCTCCAAATATAATATAATACTGCTATCATTAACCGGGTCTGCTCCTCCGTCAAGGCCGCCATAGCCCCTTTTAGCCATGCTGTAAATGAGTCTGCAACAATATTAACAATAGGCAATTGTGTTATATTCCAAACAAGTCTAGAATATTCACAGAGCACTAAAGCATGCAACCCATCTTCATGTTCTAAACCACACATTGAGCAAGTTGGGTCCACCTCCACCCTTTTAAATATCAAGTTAAGGGTTGTTGGCAAAATGTCACATATGGCTCTCCACAAGAAAGTTTTCCATTTAGGGGGGACTTTTATTTTCACACATTGCAACCCACTTATCAAAATTCGCTGGATTATTCTCATAATCACCCACAATATGCCTATAGGCATTCTTTACTGTATATGTCCCCTTTGGGTCACTCATCCAATACCATGAGTCCTCATACTCAGGACTAACAGGGATCATATTTATTCGCTCCACATCTTCAGGAATGAATAAATCAGACAAAATATGCGGATCCCAGGTATGAGTCTGTAAATCAATCAGTCCTGCAACTCGTGCCTCTCTCAATTGCTGTGGCATTTCTGTTTGAATCAATGGGCTAGGATTATCTCGTAACCACGGGTGCCCCCATATTAAAGTTGTCTGTCCATTCCCAATCCTCCTTCGCACCCCTGAGATTACCATTGCATGGGCTGCCATTATACTTCTCCAACAGTAACTTGGGCAATTACCAATAGTTGCATCTGTAAAACTGGTTGTGGGATAATACCTTGCCTTATAGATTTTAGCTACGAGTGTTTCTGGGTCTGTTAAAAATCGCCATGCCTGTTTACCTAGCATTGCTAGATTAAAAGCCCTCAGCTCTTTAAAACCCATACCACCATACTTTTTTGGTATGCACATCCCATGCCTTCCAATGTATTCCCCTTTCTCTTCCACTGCCCCACCAATACTTATTCATAGTTCGCTCAATTAACTGACAAACTGTCTCAGGTAACAAAAAAACACTCATCGAAAAGGTAGGCATAGCTTGCGCTACACTTTGCAATAATACTTCCTTACCAGCCTGAGAGAGTAACTTTTTACTCCACGAACCAATTCGCTGCCTGATTTTTTCCTCCACATACGAAAAAACAGCTCTCTTATTTCTCCCTACAAAAGATGGTAGGCCCAAATATTTCCCAAAATTGGGTGCTTGCTCCACCTCCAGACAATTCGCTACCTGAGCCCTGTGAGCCTCCTGGGTATTTCTGCTAAAACATATATTAGATTTATTATAATTCACCACCTGGCCTGACAATTTCTCATACCTTGCAAGGCACTGCCTTATAACTTCTGCCTCCTGAATATTTGCTTTAAAAAATAGGAGACTATCATCCGCAAAAAATAGGTGTGATACAGGCGGCGCCCCCCTTGCCACTCTGCACCCATGTATTGAGCCTGCCAACTGTTCATACTGTAATATCATCGAGAGAGCCTCTGCACAAATAATAAATAAATACGGAGAGAGCGGGTCTCCCTGCCTGAGTCCCCTGGTTGCTTTTACGTGCCCCTGCTACACCATTGACCATTACAGTATAATTAACAGTCGTTACACACATCATAATGAGCTTTATCCACTTCTCACTAAAACCCATAACAGTCAGCATCCTTTCTAGAAAACTCCACTCCATTCTATCATAGGCCTTTGACATATCTAACTTCAATGCACTCCATCCCACTATACCACATTGCTTTCTATTCAGATAATGCCCCGCCTCTGCTGCCACCAGGATGTTGTCAGTGATTAGCCTTCCCGGGATAAAAGCACTCTGGGATTCTGATATTAATCCTCCCATTAGTGTTTTCATCCTATTTGCTACCATTTTGGCCATAATTCTGTAGATGACATTACTCAATGCAATCGGCCTTAAATCTGCAACTGTCTTAGGCATCTCCTTCTTCGGTATCAAGACAATGTTAGTATCATTCAATCCCTCAGGGAATACACAGGAATTCAAAGCATTCATTATAAAGCCAGATACATCTCCTCCCACTATCTCCCAAAACTGCTGGTAGAAACCCGGGTTTAAACCATCCAGACCCGGTGCCTTATCCGGATACATTGAAAAAAGAGCCTCTTTAACCTCATTAGTTTCAAAAGGGCGGTCTAGCATCATATTTTGCTCTAACGTTACTCGTGGGGTTAGGACCCCAAAAAGTGGATCATCACAACTCAATCCATTAGAGGCAAAAATATTTTCAAAGTAATTCTGTATAGCAGCATGCATATCATCCCCCTCCACCCAGTTACCAGCACCATATTTAATACTAGAAATAAAATTCTTTTTCCTACGTGCAGAGGCATACCTATGATAAAATTTTGTATTTGCGTCAGCCCCGCGTAGCCAGTGCTGCTTGGCCCGCTGCCTCCAAAACACCTCTTCCTGGGCCTCTACTCGTTTCATGGTATTCTCAATCTGTTGGTACTCAGCTAGCGCTTCCAAATCTCGTCTATTCCGTATGGCATCTTGCCTCCGCTGCAGGTGGTTAATTCGTTTTCCGAATTTATGAAACTGATCTCCACCCCACCGCATCAACTTTTCTCCACACAACTGCTGGCAATGCAGCAATCCCTCCGTTCTCCCCTCTTGCCAGGCCGTTTCTACTACTTCTTTGCACCCCTCATCTAATAGCCAAGCCATTTCAAATCTAAACTTCTGCGGCCCTCTTCTCCTTGGCATGCAAATCGCATTAATACTGAGGAATAGGATCGAATGATCCGAGGCCCGGGTTCGAATATTCTCCAGCCATGCATTGTCATTGAGCAGACCCCAATCATTCGTTATTAAAGCTTTGTCCAATCTTTCCTCTATCCAATTCGGCGTCCCCTTTCCCTTCTGCCACGTATACTGATGGCCCCTCATTGGCATTTGCATCAAACCACAGTCATCCACAGCATCTCCGAAACCCCGTAACAGACTATTAGGATACTGATTTCCCCCCTTCTTCTCATGCTGGTATAGTAGATTATTAAAATCCCCTATCACCACCCAGGACAACAAGGACCTAGTCTTCAGTGTGCCAAGTAGATCCCATGTCTCCTCCCGCCTACCACGCTCGGGGATACCATAGATACATGTCATGCGCCATAACTTATTAAACAAGCTTATCTCCACATCAATATGACTCTGCGAATAACTCAAAAGTCTCACCATATTATTCTTCCTCCATAAAAGCGCCATTCCTCCACTCAAACCATCGTTATCAACATAGAACAACCCCTCATAACCAAGCGTAACACGGATCCTTTCTGCATGTATCCGTGGCACCTTGGTCTCCATCAAGAACACGAAATCAGGCTTCTTACTGGACGCTAGGCCCACAATCTGACGAACCGTGCGTGGATTGCCCAAGCCACGACAGTTCCAGCTCAAAGTACTCATGATGATGGGCGGGGCTGGACACCAGCTCCTGCCATGGACAAGTTTTTTGAAACAGCTGCGACTGTTACCTCCTCGTTTCCACTTTCCTCCTCCCCCTCCGTCCCATGCCTACGACGCTTTTCCGTAGCTACCACCACCTCATCCTCGGACATACTCGTGGATGTGATACCCCCACTTCCCTGTCCCCCATCCACCGTCCCAACCACACGTGGCCTGGCTCCCAGTGGTCGTGGTTTCCCGCCGACCGGAACAAGCCAGCTATCCCCAACCGCTCTAGGAGCGCTCTGAGATCCACAAGCTCGCATATCCGGACCGTACAGATACCTTTCTACCGGAATTCCAGCCTCCTTAGCGTGTATGCAGAAAGTATGTAAGTGACCCATACACCCACAAAAATAGCAAAACTTATGCAGCCGTTCATATCTAAAATTTACCCATGCTGTAGTCCCATCTCTCTTCATCAACCTCATCCTCCTTCTAAGCGGCCTATCAACCGATATTGACACCCGAATACGGTGAAACGTCAGCCATGGCGCCCCCTCAAATCGGTCATCATGTGTAACAAAAGAGCCCAAGAAATTTCCTGCCTGTTCCAGAATTGCATGCGACGTGTATCCCTTCGGCATATCATGCAACTGTACCCACATGTCAATCATATCCAGCTCTACATCCACCGGATTCACCCCATCCAACACCTCCTTACACACAAGTGCATTATTCTCAAAAGCCCAGGGTCCTCCATTCAGCACGTATTCCATATCAGTCTTATGGAAAAAAATAAACAAGAACAAACCCCTTTGAATCTCCGTTACCTGTACTCCATGTACTGGTTGCCAAACAGACGCCAGAACCTGCCTCATAAAATCCAGTTTTATCATCTTCTGCGTCAAAAACCGCCCAACAACCCTCCAAGTCTCCTCCTCCTCTTCCCCATCACCCTCTACCACCGCATCACCACCTTCCGGCATAAACACCGCACCCTCCTCCTCCATCAAAGTCATCTCCGCCCACCTATTCGTCAACTCCGCCACACTCACCTCCCCCCTCGGCCGGCCAGGTACCGTCCGTTCTCCCCCACCCTGCCCCCTACCTTCTCCAGCCCTCTCCCTCAACCCACCTACCCCTGCCATCAACCCGCCCCGCCTGGGAATTTCACTGCCCTCACGGCGCCTTCCTTCATGCAAAACATTAAACCTATCCCTCACAGCCCCCGTTACTGCTTGCTGCCGGCCGTCCATCTCCCCCTCCCCGGTTCGGCGCAGGTCACTCACAACCCCCACACCACTCCGTCGTTCCCCCACCCCATCCACCACAGTTCGGCGTTGATCCCCCAAACCCCCTCTGCCAGTTCGCCAGCCGTCCAGATTCTCCTCCACCGCTCGGCGTCCGCCATCCAAAACCGGCTGATCGATCCCCTCCATATCAGCCAACTCACCCCTTCGTTCGTCGTCCATTGTTTCAGCGCCGGCAATCTACCGGTAAGGAATCAAGCAATCACCGTTGAAGACCCTAGGAAAAACCCTAGTAGGAAGGCAAAAACCCTAGAGAGAATTTTCTAGAGAGAGAAAAGTTGACGTCTATTTAATCATAATCAATTTAAATTACTCAAAAATACCTTTTTATTATTTATTTTTATTGTTTTACCTTTAATTTATAATTTATCAACTATTTTTTAGATATATAACCCCTTTTACTTGTTGACTATCCTCAACTCTTCTGCCCTGGAAGTTACTGGCTCTATTACATTATAGTATCTGTTCATATACTTTCTCAACCTACTGAAACACAAAGAACCAATAACGCCTCCACTAAGGCTCGAACTCATAATCTTCCAAATGGAAGTCCAACCCGGGTACCATTAGACCACATAGTCCTGGTATTGATTTTGTTTCCTAAATATTTTTGATTTACGATAATTTTTTTTTTAAAATTATGAGGGTTCAAAATTCATAACTTGTTTTACAATCAACATCAAAATCTATTCATAAAATATTAGTAACATTTTATTTTACAAAAACATTAAATTAGAAAGGGAGTTCTATTATGTGTATTCCCAAATTCTAATGTCTTGATTTTACTACCTAATGTGACTAACAATGATACGCTATTGTCATTATGTGGGTTCCAAGAAAAATGCCTACAACAAGAATTTAAGAATGGGAGTAAAAGTTGGGAGCATGCATGGTTGCAAAAATCGCGCCTAGGCGCTAGACGGTCGACGTACAGGCGCCTAGAAATTCGACGGAATCACCGTTCTAGGTGGCCGACCGCCTAGGCAACTACTAGTCCGCTGTGGACTAGGCGGCCTAGGCGCCCAAAAAAATCTTTAAATTTTTTTTTTTTTAAAAAATGGGCGCCTAGGCACCCAAGGAACGCCTAGCGATTTTTACAACCTTGCTTGGGAGTCCATATAGTAATTTCCTTAAAAAGGTCTTGGGAATAAAACTTCGGAGTCCACATAGTAATTTCCTTAAATGTTTTCTTAAAATATACTCCGTATCTTTTTAATATCCTAAAGAAGTCTTTGTTTCCAAAGTTGTTGATACTACTGTTGTGATTGATCTTATTGTATTGATTCATTAATATTAATATTTCATGATTTTTTTAGTACTATTAACTCTATTATAATATAATATCTATTCAACATAGGTTCATGTGATGACCTTCCTTTAAAGAGATCGAGCTACAAATGCGCCAATTGAGTAAGGTGTTTGTCCTATTATTTCTTGATTTAAATAAACGAAAGTTATTATTTTTCGAAATATTTCGAATCAATGCTTTGTTAATAATAACATTAAATAGTTATTAGTATAGCGTTTTTTTTTTCTCATCATTTTTAATAAGAGTCAAATTGAGAAAGAATAAATTTAATTTTAGGTGGATTCACAAACCAGCAACATTAAAATCCAAAAAAAAAAAAGGTAATTACAAAGTAAAAAAGCTAAATATGATCAATTCTAGGAAATTGATTACGAATTTGCTATATTAAGCATTTTGGCTTTCAAATGCCAAAATTTGTGCTCGTCTAGACATAAAATTATTAACTTTCCATCCATCTTTTAATTTTACATTCATTAATTAATCTATATATGCTGGTCTATATTGGATCATCAGTTCTAAGTCTGTCACTTAAAAATTCTATTTCGCTCGATCTCCACGTTACAATAATAATGTCCTCTCTTCTTCAATACGGTAGAGAAACAATTACTCTGCTATTGGTACAACTACTACTATTTGTTGCCATTGGGGATGGCGCTGTGGACATCAAAGTTATCTGCAACAAAACTTCATACCCTAACTCATGTTACAACAGCCTCGTTAAAGTTGCCCACATGTCTCCGGGACATCATGAGGTGTACACGTTGTCTGTGCAAGTGGCGAGCGAGGAGGTGAGCAGAGCCTCGGATAGTTTCCTGCGACTACAAGAGGAGTTCAACAACGTTTCTGACGCTATGTCTTTAAGGGCTGTCCGGGTCTGCCACGACCTTTTCTCTATTGCGGCGCGGTGCCTAAATCACTCTAATTGGTCTGTCGCTCTCGACAGGCCGGCCCGCATCCACCGCGCGTTTGCCGATCTTAATGTATGGTTAAGTGCGGCCGGGACTCACCAGCAGAGCTGCGTTAGCGCCATGGAGGACGCGACAGACGAAACTTTGAGACGTAGGGTTTTGGAGAATATGGAGAAATCAGCCGAGTTGACGAGTAATAGTTTGGCCATCCTACGTGCATTCCAAGAATCCATGGTGAATTTTCGTGTATAATATATATATATTATGCTCAAAATAATGCTAACGCACCTTCTAGGGTTTGTAGCTGAGTCAAGTATGTGATAAAACGGCTGGCTAACATTGATTTACAGGTTGACCGTTCAAGAGGCAACACAACTATGGCTGAAGATCAACACACCATTTCTGATTCAATTGCTAGAAGGTTAGGTTTTTAGTAGTTTCTATTCAATAACGTTCAATGTTGTAAAAATCCCGACTAGGCACCGATTAATTGGCGCCTAGGTGCTAGGCGCTGGCCGGCTGTCTAGCGTATCACCATAATTGGTGGTCTAGGCGCCTGGCCGGCTAGACGGCCGACTAGGCCGCCTAAGTGCCGCCTAGGCACTGACTGCCTAGGCTTCCTAGGCAACTCCTAGGTCACCTAGTCGGCCGTTTAACTATTCTCCCACTCTTTTTTAAATGAGTTATTTCACTCGAAATGACATTGTTTTGAGCGAAATAACCCTAAATTGTTCAAAGTCTAGATGTTTTTAGGTTAATATTTAATATTTTAGTATTAACTATTAAAGTATTAAATAGTTTATAATTATCTCAGCTTAAAAGATTAAAAGAATTTAAACAAATTTTTTAAAAATAAAAACATATATGAGCGCCTAGGCGTCGATTAATCCCCATCTGTATTGCCCGATGAGCCCTTAGCGATTTTTTCAAACATGGTAATTTTAGACTACATTTATATCTAACAAACTCCGGTATTGGCTTGATTAGAGAGTCGCGGAAGTTGTTGGGTTCTGGTGGCATGCCAAGATGGCTGGATTCCAAGGAGAGGAAGTGGCTTCGAACTTCGACCGGGAATTTGCAGATTGATGCTGTGGTGGCGAAAGATGGGTCCGGAAAGTTTAGTAAAATCAGCGACGCGCTTAAGGCCGTGCCGGATAATGGCGTTAAGAGGTTCGTGGTCTATGTTAAACGAGGGGTTTACAAGGAGAATGTTAGGGTTGAGGCAACCAAGTCCAACGTTATGATGATTGGTGAAGGGATGGATGCTACTATCGTCTCTGCTGGACTAAATTTCGTTGATGGAACTCAAACATTCGACACTGCTACATTTTGTAAGTGAACATCATATCCTTAATTGTATTCTTTTAATTTGTAAATATAATAATGCTTTATTATGTTAAGTTGTTAGGTTTTAAGTTTTTCATCCAATGTATTTTTTTTTTTTAATGATTGATGAAGGAAGTCCACAATTGCTACCGAGAGAGAGTGAATCAATAAACCCCACTTCCCATTTAGGATAAAGTTATATAATAAAAAATTTTCAACTTTTTTATTAATTAGTTATCATGAATTGGCCAGATGACTGATCAAGTCAAAAAAAATGCTTATATACATATATATATATATATATATATATATATATATATATATATATATATTTTATTTTTTTTTTTTTTGAAAGGAATGCTTATATTTGTTAATCAAATATGAATAAAAGATAACCAAATATCAGCTTTCCATATATGTAGCACGGTCCTTTTATATAATTTCTCTCTTAGATTAATGTAAGTAATGATTATTTAAATTGATCAATTTTAGAAAATAATAATTGACAGAATTGGGGTAGATAAGAAATGTTAGAACAAAATTAAACTAAAAATGAGAAAATTACATTTTTAACTAGTTACATTATTTTTATTTTTTACTACTATCGACTCTATTATAAGCTAGTTATTTTCATACTTAATTGCATATTTTTGTAAAAATCAATGCTAAATGTTTTTAGAATTTTTTTTTTTTTGGTCCCTTCCTGATGTTACAATTTTTAATATAGTTTTTAATCTTTTACTTTAAGAGAACATTTAAGTAGCTAAACTAGTTAATTAGTTTGAACTTTCTCAAAAATTAAAAGGTAGGAAAATTATATTATTTACATAAATAAACTAGATTCCTTAAAACCAAGGGCCTATAAGTGGGTAAGATTTTTAAGTATAATATATATATATATATATATATATATATATATATATATATATATATATATATATATATATATATATATAACCCATTTTAGAGTCAAATTGAAAAAATAAATCTCTTACAAATATATCTTGTCATGCCTGTTATTGATTTACATATTTGAAGAATGATAACAATTCACCATTAAATAGAATATCTCATCAATTCACTGAAAAGTACACGTCGTCATTATTTTTTTTTTTCACAATTTTTTTACATGTATTTCGTTGCCATACATACTTTTTTTTTTTTTTTTTTTTTTTTTTAAAATCTTATTGTAATAATATATGCATGTATAATATATGGAAGGGAAGGCTAGGATAATTTATTTTAGAATTATTGGGCGACGTTAGGAGAAATATAATATTGGATTTCATGTTTTGATAGTATGGAGCAACTAAGTAGAGTTTAAGTGATTAAAGTATCTATGAGGTCCTTGTACTATAGTATTTTGTTCAATTTAGCCTTTCTACCTTAATTATGTTCAATTTAGTCTTTGTACTTTAAAAAGTGAAACAATTAAGGGCAATAACTTATGTGGCGCTGACATTATCTGTGTCACGTCATCATATTTACATGCCAATTCATATATTATTTTATAAAAATTTAAAATTAATTATTTTTATCACCAATATATTACATTAATATGTTGAAAATAAATACATAAATATTTGCTCACATCAGCTATTGCCCTTAATTGTTTCAATTTTAAAAGAATTAATATGAACAAAATTAAAGTAGAATGACTAAACTGAACAAAACACTATAGTACAGGAACTTATTTTGAGCAATTTAAATTTATTGGATGGGATTGGTTGTATATATGCATGCAGCTGTATTTGGTGAGGGGTTTATCGCGAGGGATATGGGGTTCCAGAACACCGCCGGTGCCGCAAAGCGTCAAGCCATAGCATTGATGGCGGACGGCGATAAGGGAGTGTTTTACCGGTGCAAGTTTGACGGTTTCCAAGACACTCTCTTGGCACACGCCTACCGCCAATTCTTCCGGCAGTGCACCATCTACGGCACCGTCGATTTCATTTTCGGAGACGCGGCCGCCGTGTTCCAGGACTGCAATATCCTCGCCCGCAGACCATTGCCCGGCCAGCAAAACATCATCACCGCTCAGGGCAAAACAGATTCCAGGGGAGCCTCCGGGTTTTCCATCCAGGACTGCAAACTTTCCCCGGCGGAGAACCTCGCCGGAGCCGCCACCTTTTTGGGCCGTCCTTGGAAGAAATACTCCACTACAGTTTTCATCCGCACGTATATGGGAAGCTTTATCCATCCTAAGGGATGGGTCCCTTTCAGGGGCACAACGGCGCCGGATACCATTTACTACGCGGAGTTTGAAAACCAAGGACCCGGCGCCGGAACAGCGAACAGAGTCCAGTGGAAGGGATTGCATTTGGATATTAGTAGCGCCGAGGCTAACAAATTTACTGCCAACTCTTTGATTGGAGGAGGGTCTTGGCTTCCCAGTACAGGTGTTCAATTCAAATCAGGTCTATAAGAGCATCCACGGTTGTAGTTTTTGAACATTTTTTGTATGATTTTAATAACTTAGTCATTGTTTCTCCAGCAATCAGCTGTTATTAGCTAATTTGTTAGCGGATAGCGATTAACAGAATGTGTTAGATGTTTGACCAGCCGCTTATTGTTTTACCGGTTTATAGAGAGATTTTTGGTAAAATTATTAATTGTTTATAATTAGTGATTGTCATGTCAAATAATTGTTAATTATTAATTATTAATTATGGAATATCTCAATCTCAATATATATTAAAGCAAAATGATTATGGAATATATCTATATATATTATATCTCTATCTCTTCTCTATCTCTATCTTTATTATATATATTAAAGCAAAATGATTAGGGAAATCTCTCTCTCTCTCTCTCTCTCTCTCTATATATATATATATATATATATATATATATATATATATATATATATATATATATTAAAGTAAAATGATTAGGAAAAAATTTTCCCAAATCATAATCATCATTATAAATAATTAAATGAAGATGAAAAGAAAATCAAAGTAAATAATAAGCAAAAAGATTTTAGTGGATAGGAGAGTAATTTACAAAATTAATTTGAGTAATAATTGTTGATCCATAATTGAGAATTAACATTGCAATAATTATGTTATGTTTCTAACATTAATTGATTGGAGATAAATTTAAAATTAAGAATCAATATTTACATTAACATTTACACATACTTCAATAATACTATTATTATTATGCAATAATAAAATAAAATTTATAATAATAATAATAATAATAATAATAATAATAATAATAATAATAATAATAATAATAATAACAATAACAAAAAAAAATAAAAAATGAATAATAATAATAATAATAATAATAATAATAATAATAATAATAATAATAATACAAATCAAAATAATATATAAAATAAATTTTATAAGATGAGCATTGCTCCCATTTACGAAACAATTTGCTTGCCCATCACTGCCTGGCAAGCATTGATAGCCTAAAAGGCTCCTTCTTAAATGAATGAGCCTTTAGTGGCTTCAGTTATATGTCTTTTTTTTTTTTTTTTTTTTTTTTTTTAATATAATACAGGGACATTTTGGAAAAAAAAAGTTATTCTTTTCTTAAACTGCTAAATTGAAATGTTACAAAATATAGCATTTTAGTTTTAACTTTTTACTATTAGTGGTTAAATGTAAAAAGACATATAATAATAATAATAATAATAATAATAATAATAATAATAATAATAATATTATTATTATTATTATTATTATTATTATTATTATTATTATTATTATTATTATTATAATATATTATGCAATAATAAAATAAAATTTATAATAATATTAATAAGAATAACAAAAACAATTTTTATTCGAATTGAAGATGTATGGTATCAATGCCCATACCTCTCGTATGTAAAGCGAGTGCTCTACCATATAAGCTACATCGCCATAATGAAAAATGCTTCATTTAATATCTATTGATGGAATTAATTAAACCGGGGTCCGGATTAATTAACCCAAATAAATGTAACAAGTAACGTACTATATGATTAAAATGATAATAGGGCTACAAATATAGTCACGGAGACTGATATTGTATTATTAACTGAACGTATGATGCTATTACAGAGGTGTAGAACATGTAATAATAAGACAAATATTTAGGACACAAGATAGAACATGCCCTTAACAAGACAATTACTAGGCTATTTATGCAAAGGAAATTCCAATCAATTACGGCTAAATTCGTGGAGGGCCACGGGACTAAATCCAAGCCCATGTGGTGGGCCGTGAGACTAAGTCAAGGCCCATCATTCTGGGCCCGGAGGTAAGCTCTGGACTTGAGACTCTTCTTGGGCTGCTCGGGTTATACATTCCCGGACCCGGGTCTCTATTATTATTGGGCCATTTCCAATATATCCATCATCAGTCCCCCACTCTCTAAGTTGCTAGAAGTCGACAACGAGAGAGAGTAAACATTTGGCCCAATCAAAGCCGCTTCGAGGCTCCATGCTTCGATGAATACTTCAGTGTCAACTTGAATGGAAATATTTTGCTTATTCCAACACCTTTAAAACTTTTAGCCTTGCACTTTAATCCGTGATCCGAGTCCTCTTCATTCGAGAGCGGGCTGTCTGGACGACGCAGGGTCATTTATTACATTCTTGCTCGCGTGATTTTTTTTTTACGTAGTATGTAGTTATTTGGCCAAGGGTACTCTTGGTCCAAAAACTCTTCCGTTGGGGTTGGTACGCGAGGTCGGACCTCGTGCCCCCTTAAGGTAAGCCCGTCGGTCCCAAGTCACCGGACTTGGATCGTTAAGCTCTTCCGTCGGGGCTGGTACACGAGGTCGGGCCTCGTGCCCCCTTAGGGCAAGCCCGTCGGCCCCAAGTCACCGGACTTGGGCCGTTAAGCTCTTCCGTCGGGGTTGGTACGCGAGGTCGGGCCTCGTGCCCCCTTAGGGTAAGCCTGTCGGCCCCAAGTCATCGGACTTGGGCCGTTAAGCTCTTCCGTCGGGGTTGGTACGCGAGGTCGGACCTCGTGCCCCCTTAGGGCAAGCCCGTCGACCCCAAGTCACTGGACTTGGGTCGTTAAGCTCTTCCGTCAGGATTGGTACGCGAGGTCGGGCCTCGTGCCCCTTAGGGTAAGCCCGTCGGCCCCAAGTCATCGGACTTGGGCCGTTAAGCTCTTCCGTCGGGGCTGGTACATGAGGTCAGACCTCGTGCCCCCTTAGGGCAAGCCCGTCGACCCCAAGTCACTGGACTTGGGCCGTTAAGCTCTTCCGTCGGGGTTGGTACGCGAGGTCGGACCTCGTGCCTCCTTAGGGTGATATCCCTCCAACTTGAGTCATTTGACACAGGGCCGTTAGGATTATCCGTCGGGTAGCTAGCGGGATCAGATCCCATGCTGGCCCTTAGGGAATTGAGCGAGCAAGCTTTTTTTTTTTTTTTTTTTTTTTTTTTTTTTTTTTTTTTTTTTCAAAATTGAACGAATTGGAATTCAATTCGGTGACCGTTGGTCCAGAGTCCTTGGTCCCGGCCCCTCTCCCTCCTCGGAAGGGTAAAATCTGTCGAATTTGGGCTAATTTTGCAATCGAACAATTATTTTATTATAATAAAACAAATTATATTGTTGGTCGGACCAACATTCATGAAATAGACCAATAATAGGCTCTTCCATCCTGTAGTGAGCGAAGGCGGATCCCGTACCACCGTTAATAAATGCCAAATGCTAAAGTTGGGGCCGGCACGCGCAAGCGCAACCATGAATGATTATTTTGGCTAGCGCTAAGCGATATAAACAATTCGCAGCGCCTTGACGTTGACTAGTAATCCACTAATTAACGTAATTCTATTATCTATGAAAAATAGATAATGTTATATACGCACTTATGTATTGGTGCGTTGAAGTGAATGCATGCGTGCATGGATTCTCCCATGTTCTTCATTTTCAACAATTTTTCTTCTTCTCTCATGGTTGACCGCCACTGGAAAAATGTGCAGAGCAGTGCCTATGCTTCTTGGGCCTCATGTGCCCTTGTGGTTTTTGATTATATCCCGGAACAGAACCACAAGAATTTTCTATATACTGAGATGAGAAAGGACACACAATCCTGCAAATTAAAAATACTTAACTAGCTTCAAATGCAAATGTAGGGAACTTTCAGAACGCAATCTGCAAACTGCGGTGCACATAGACGTGAATGTATCTTCCTTCACGTAGCATTGGTTTGCCAATACATCCATTAATTCCACCAACGTACCATGTTAATACCTAGAATCTCAGCATCAAGAGCATCATCATGGACTGCATAGGATCTTGAGATGAACATTGCTAATTGAGATTTTGGGGTTTCCCATTCTAGTGTCATTTAATGGTCTCAGCCAGGAATTTCCAGCAGCTGGACTTCCTCCAAGCTTCGATCTATGTCTATATGATATATGACATTGATCAGAATCACAAACTATTTTACAACGACAAACCATCTTCACTAGGTCGCCTCCAGAGAACAGTTTAGTTGGCCAAACACGAAGGTGGTTCCTCCTCCGGCAACCACGACATTAATAAGAATAATAATAATGTCCATTCTGCCAAAGCCGTGGACGTCGTATGAAGCAACATAACTACAGATACCCGATAAAGAGATCAAAGCGTTCCCCTTCGCGTCTCCTTCCTGCGATCCGGAACCTGTCGCAACTGCCCTGATGCCATGGAATTATAATGAGATTTTTGTGTGGAAAAAATGTCCCAACCCCTCTTGGTTACAGTGCCTGAAGAGACACGCCGGTTCTGCATCTGCCGAGGTTATGTGCATACTCTATTGCTCTCATGTCACAGACCCAGACCAGGATCATCGATATGCACTCCTCCGTGACGATCATTCAGCGAACATGCATCCAAGGTACGTGTCGAAATTCCATACTGCCATGACCAACACTGGTTTTATGGTTGCGGGAAGAAGAAGCTGTGGTTGCAAAAAATTATGGCGACATCAGATCTTTGCCATCTCTCATCGGCAACTTTCGGCGAACGATTTATATTGATATTCTCATTGCAGCTATGAAATGCCAAGGATCTATGGCAAGAGACGTGGTGTTTAGGGCTGGAAAAGCACTAGGGCTATTTCAGTGTGCCACCATGTTCAGTTCCACCGGGAATGCCAGATCACTTGAACGATGGACTTTGTCTTCAGTGACAGTATGACCATGTTCCAAAGCTGCCAGATCTCGACCATGAAGGGCCTCCCCCATCAGATAACATCACTGCGCAAGGCCGGAAAGACCCTACAATGTCACAATGGAGCGCGCAGGAGGTGCTAACTTATGAAAAAAAACATCATACAAACTCTCTTCACTCATGGTTTTCATGCAATCGTACATGAGTAGTGCTATCCGGCCAAAATGGCGACTGGAATTGGATCTTGGTATTGTCAAAGCGTCAGATTCGTAAGAGACGTTGTTATGGATCTCGATCTTGCCATTGATGTGGATGA